TCAAATTTTTTATTATATTTTAGAATTTCTCTATAATTTTATAATTTTCTTACATTTTTTTATACGAATTGAAACATTTCTCAGAAAATCTACATTTTTTCTCAGAATTTATCATGTATGTTATATGAAATATCATAAGATTTTTTGTAAGTATAATTTCTGATGAAATGTTATAAAAATTTTTAAATACTTTTTAAAAATTATGGCATGAGAAATTCCAGAATATTTCAGAATTCACTTGTACAAAAAATTCTGAGAGATGTAAACTTTCTAAATATTTCTGAATATTTCTGAAAAATATTACAATTCATATAAAAATTATGAGAAAAATTTTCACCAGGATATATATTTATCTTTATTTATAATTATCTATTTCTATCTATTTCAAAAAAATTTTTAGAACGTGAATAATTTTTGTACATCTTTAAAAATTTTAGATCGACGGTCGAAGAAAAATGCATCGATTATTTGATGTTAAACGACGAGTCTTGTGCTGTAAATGATTATGTCGAAACGGAAGAACCATGGATTCTGATGCAAGATCAATTAGAAATATTTGATGAAAATGAAATTCCTATGAATATATATGAAGAAAGAATTGAGTAAGTTGATGTTTTTTTATACTAAATTAAAGTTAATGGCTTATAAAATTAATAAAATTAAGTCAAAAGTTGAAGGAATAAAGAATTAACTTAATAAAAGTTAAGATTGAATTAACTTATGTTTCAAAAAAAGTTAATTTTGAAAAAAAAATTATTTTTGAGATCAGAATGTTATAATTTTTCTTAAAATGGGATTACTTTAAATAACACTTATAAATATAGATTATTAGGTAAATTTAATTTTATAGTCACATGTAAGTCACTTATATATAATAAGAGTCACACCATATAAGGCGTTTTTATCAAAATCTTGCGAGAGAGAAGGATATATGTTTGCGTTATTTTTCTTTCTTTAACGTATCTAACTTTCTTTAACTTGTGAAACGACTGCTCATGCATGTTTACGACTACATCGACTAGATATTTGTTACAAAAAATATACGTAAAAATTTAGAAAATGGGATATGGATACTGTTCTACAATTCTTTGTCTAAGGCTCATTTCATATTTATGTTGTTGAAATATAACGTTTATGATACCTAAAATTAGTGTGTTTTAAATATAAGCAGGAATTGACAAAACCTAGTGAGTCAATAAAAACTGTATGGTGTGGCTCTTATTATAGATCTCTCATCATAAAATCATTGAACTTTTTCTAAATTAATTCTCTGTTTGACTTTAAAAGAAAAAAAAATATTAGCATTAAGAGATAGAAAAATTTTTAATTTAAAAAAGTTCATAAATTAAAGTTTAAAAGCAACTAAATTAAGTTAAAAATTAATGCATTTAATATTAACTAAGTTAAGTTAAAAGTTATTAACTTTTTAACTTTTGTTTTAACTAGTTACTACCTAATCCTGGAAGAAACGAACACAGAGGACGAAGAGATACCTGCCAAAGTATATTCGATATATATACTATTTACAGCTATTTGTTTATATCTTGCTATTAATAACTGTTTTTGCATGCTTTATTATATCGTTTCATATATTTGTATGATTCTTTGTATCTCTTTATGTATCTTTGTATTTCTTTATATATCATTTTTAAGCTTAAAATTGTGTTTTAAGAATTTCTGTGAAATAATAATGGAGACATTATAACAAAAATTATTCATGGACTAAAAGTATATTGTAAAAAAGAATTAAAAATGTATATAATTTTGAAATTTTACACATACACACACACACACACACACACACACAAGTAGTGTATAATTGACTATAAGAATAGGAAATAGGAAGAATTAGCAAATAAGAATGTGTGACAGGTATGGATGAATGAATGAGTTAAACGAGAATTGTCAACCAAGTCCCCTTCTTCACATGTAAATATGCTGAAGCAAATAAATATTCTATTCTATTCAACATACATATATTATGTACACACCCGATATCCTTATGCATTTTTTAATAATAGGCTTTTTTCTTTGAAATATGTTTTTAATTATCAAATGAAACCTCAGAATTTCTTTCATCAAGTCCAAAGAAATTCTGAAGCACTTTATGCGTATGTGTACGCATATATATATATATATATATGTGTCAAAAATTTAATATTACTATTAAAATACCAAACGTTAAATCCTTATAACTATTAAAATATAAATACACACATTTATATGCGTACATTTATATTTTATTAAATCGTACAAATTAATGATCTTTAATTAAATGAAACATATTTCTTCTAGGTATTTATGGTGTGGTTTATCACATCGTCGATTGTGACCCGTTCACCAGAGAGTTCCTGACGAGTCAAGGTATCGATGTAGGTGAAAAGGAAAATCTTCCTGCGGATCCTTACACTGAATGGCGCGATACCATGTGCAGAACACCAACAGGGATCACACGAGTGGTGGGCGATGATTCCAGGCGACGTTTTCTCGAATACGATGGTATGGTGCTGTCTTTTAATGCAACGTGGAATGAAGATCGTTATCGGGTGATGTATTTCCTGATGGATGACACCGTGGCGATCCGAGAGATTCACGAACCCAATGACGGCAAGGACCCCGTGGCGATGTTGCTGAAGCGAATGCGTGTGCCTAAAAACTGGCAGAATTTGCCGTCTTGGCATCCAAGTATCTACATGGAATATGGAGATCCTGAGATCGTAGAATACTATGTACCGCGAGATTTTAGAGTAAGGCTATTTCGGCTTATTTTAGCCTCATACATTATGGATGCAATATTGTATTTTAAATAAATAATATGAAATAAATAAGACTGTAATTAGATTATAAAATCCACCTGTTTCATGTTAGATTATAAAATGCAATCTTAAAAATTATCTGAAAAATGATCCAAGCAAAATTTCATAGATCAATAAACGAGCTTCTCTTTTACATTTCAAGATAATGCTAAATTTGAAAATTAAATTTGTAAATTGATAAAATTAAAAATTTTAACATCGACGATTTCAAGGCGCAGCAAAAATAAATTCAGTAAAATATATATTTACATGTTTCTCTAGAGTAAATAAAAGCAAATGATGAACCCTGTTATTATTTTGTTTTCAGGTAGGCGAAACGATCCTCTTATTCGGACGATGCTTCCTGCTGTATGACTGCGATGCTTTCACGCGCAAATATTACTCCGACATGCTAGGTACACCGCAACCGGACGCGATTCCGATCCCCACGAAAGTGGAAAGGCCAGCACCGAAGTACGAGATACCACCGCATATAAAATTCAGCAGTCCCGAGGATACGTATGCTAGCTGTTTGTCGTTTATACCGAAGCCACCCAAGAAGAATGTCATTCGCCAGCTGGCAAACTTCCCGAAGAAGCTGCGCTACTCCGCTCGAATGGATGCGATACATCCAGAGGATGAGGGCCGTGATTTCGTGCTGGAGTATAGCCTAAGTGACGGTACCATTCAAATCAATGAGATCGAGAAGCCAAATTCTGGTCGACGTGAGGGCTGCTTCCTATCCTCCAGATTGATTCCGAAGCCGTGTACAGGAAACGATAATCCGGAGTACTACACGCCGCAGGATCTTTTCATTGGCGCGCGTATCAACGTGTTTAATCATCGCTTTATCATTACTGGCACTGATCTATTCGTGTATCGCTATGTTGATGCAAATCGCGATAAATTTTGCCAGAAAGTCCTGGAGAATTTGCGCAATTATTTTCTACGCCAAGGTATGCTACAGGACGACGTGGACGCTGAAGCTAGAAAGATACAAATGCTGGAGGATGAACAAAAACTTTTCGCGACTAATGTAACCGCGAAAAATATCGAGGATGATATTAGTACAGGCAAATGCATGAACAAAGAATTTGATATGACTGGTTATAAAGAATTGACAACGGCTTAATTAATTAATTAACGCATAAATGGATTTATCGGCGTTTTCAATACCGATGCTTCAACCTATGAGGTTCGCTAATAAATTTTACAAGCAATTCTTTTCGTTCTTTATAAAAATAGCACTGTCTTATACACAGAGTAATTCTGAATAATGTTGACAAAAAAACTGTTTCCTCTTGAAACAAATTCAAATTTCTTTTTACTCGAAAGCAAAACGTCGAATTATCAAGTCTTTGAGTTAATATGAAATCAAATAAAAAGTTTATTTAAAATTGGGTTTTATTTTTAAATATGAATTTTGTAAAATTTAAAAATTGACTTTGAATGTAAAAAAATCGATTTAAGACAAAAAATTAATTATAAAAAAAACATCTACTTAGTACCGTTATAATACTCACGAGTCTGTTTCCACATATTGATCAAGGAATATGAATTCGTTTACATTATTCAGTACCACTCACAATATAACGTTGCCATCATTGCAAAGAATGTTATTATCTAATGAAAAAACAGAGAACAGAGATGCGTTTAACAATAAGAATCATATCTCATGAAATGTCATCAAATGGTACAATAATAATGATCGTCGTAATCGTGTACATTACAGTAGATTAATTGTAATATTATTTCACTTTTCGTTATATTATTTTCAACTCATTTCTCTGTAGTCCATGAATAATATAATAATAGATGATATATTCGCAATACAGATATAGAATACGCGCTAAAATAAACGCCAATAATTTTCTGTATAATTCATTTTGTGAAGCATGATGGTTATAAATACAACTGAGGACGTTGTAACAAGCCCCTGCACCTTATTAACAATTAAGGGGGAATTCGACCCTTCTGTCGAGCTGCAGGCACCAGATTGAATGTTCATTGGTATTTAAAACGATATATAACCAATCCAAATGACACTTGTTTATAATATAATGTTCTTGTATAGATTTTTTCATTTTCAACAAAAGTTTAAGCATTTTACAAGGATTAGTCCACATATTACAGTTTTTTTTATTTTTTTCTTCTATACCGCGTTTTCTTTCTTTCCCTCCCCCCCCCCTCTTTTCCTCTTTATTCCTGTCTTCTGTCCTGTTTTATGATTTGTACGTTTAAGAAACACCTTTCGATGAATAGCACGCAACACCACACTATATATACTTTATAATCGTCAGGGAGTTAATCAAATATCCTTCGAAATAGTGCATTATCCTTCCGCTAAGGAGTTTCTCTTTCTCTTTCTCTTCTCGTCCTTTTCCTTAGAAGTTGCGGTTATATATTATTTTACGATGATGCCGACGCGATGCTAGTGTTATCTGATTATCGGATTAATCATTTTAACGAAAGAACAACACGGCCGAAGTCAACAAATGTTCGATCACAGGAAATCAGAAGAAGCCCATCGTGGATCCGGGAAAGCAAAGATAAGTTGTAGGACGTGATTATTAGTCGTAGCGTGCTTCCTTTACATCGATTACTCTCGTTAACAGCATTACGTCTCTCCAATATTAAGCGCTACTGGCGCGAACCTCCTCTACCACTACGACCACCACGCTCCTGCAACAAAATAATATATAATAATCATTAAATGATCGTAAGCGAATCCTGTTTGAAGATTTCGTAGTGCAGATCGAAGAAAATTCAATAGAATCTACCTTGCGCTGATGCAGATGAGGCTGATGACCATGCTGATGGTGGTCTCTGGACATATCTGAGACATGTCCTCTATTTCTATGATTAGAGGAAGAATGATGATGTTGTATAGGATTTGGGGCTTTACGCTGATCCTCCTCGGCTTGCCGGCGCTCGTAATGCCCGAAGTCGTCGAAGATGCTCGTAGAATGACGATAAGTATGCAAGATACGCAATACTGTGACACCTTTCGCATGCGGGACCTCTTGTGCGTCTCGCGAGTTGGTCACCGGTTTATTCTCATTGTTCTCAAGCTTAATGTGTCGCAGTTGCACATTAGGAACATCCTTCACGTATATCCAACGAACGCGAAACTGACCCTTCCACTTGTCCTGAGACCAGACACTACTGTTGCTCTGATAGTCAACAGGGGAGACCATCTGCGCCATGCCGCAGAAATGACCGGATCCATTTACAGAGAAGAACAAATAAAGGGGCGCACCTTCACGACTCGCTTCCCGGTAAGCCTGGTCCAGCCGTTTGTTACCATGCTCCGTGCTGCACCAAATTTCATATTTGATGGACCGATGGATGTCGTCTTCCGAGTAAGATTTGATCACGAAAAACCTCGCGCCAGGCGCGGCTTGATCAAAGTCCACGGGATTGTAATCGTTCTTTACTTTTAGTTCATCGAGAACTGGATGCGACTGGTTGCCCTGGGCAAGTTGTTGTTGTTGTTGTTGTTGTTGCTGCTGCTGCTGCTGCTGTTGATGCTGCTGTTGCTGCACTTGCTGATGTTGTTGCTGCTGATGATGGTGTTGATGCGACTGCTGATGCTGCTGCGATTGCGGCGGCATATGGATTTGCGTCTGTGACTGTGGTTGCGGAATCGATGGGGTTGCCGTTGCGGATGGCTGTCTGTTCCAACACGGTTGTGGGGGCTGTTGCGGTCGTTGCTGCCTCTGGACGGGCGGCGGCGGCGGCGGAATCGGCGGCTGCACCTGCGGTGGCGGGAGCGCCGTAGGCGGCGGCGGTGCGGAAGACTTGCCCTCACCCCACGTCCCGATGTCCATATTGTGCTTACCCGGCACGATAGGCGGTGGCGGCATGCCCGCCTTTTTCTTCATTCCTTGCGAGGACGAGAGTGGCGGTACCGGTTTCGCCGGCTGACTCGCCACACTCGCCCACGTTATCTTTCTCGGTTCCTTCGGCTCGGGCTTAATCTGCTGCGCCGTAGCCTGCTGCGGATGTTGCTGATCTTGCCGTGGCAAGATCTCACCGCCACCACTGCCGCCGATCGACAGACCCTGCACGCCCTGCTCGATGGTCTTGATCTCGCCGGTACCGCTCGCTGCCGGATTAACATAGCTCTCGTTGCCGCGCTGCGGTTGATAGTAATCCTCGTACTTGGTCCTCCTTGGTGTACCCCATGTATTGAAGTCACCGTTGCCATGGAAGTAGTTGAACGGCGGTTGGCCGAACGCGCTGAAACCACCGCCGGCTGCCGACGCCGAGAACATGCCATCCATGCCGTATGCATCGTGGCTTATTTGACCACCATAACCGGACAGAAAGGCGACTGGATCGGTACCGTTCGACCAGGTGCCATCGCCGGCGCCGAAGGTCTGATAAGGGAACGAGGTACCGGCGTAGTACGGGCTGTACGGATCGCCGGTGCCGATCGGATAACTCGAATGATGCTGAGCATTGTTGCCGCCCCGCCACGAGTCGAAACCAGTGTCCTCGCCAGCGGCATGCTCCGTTTGCTGTTGCTGCTGGTGTTCCTTAGGACCATTGCTCACTGTCCGAAACAGAACTGCATTTACTCAGTGTACAAATGTATATGTAGCAATTAGGCACACGTGATAAGACAGCAGCCAAAATATTGCTTGTTCCTCAAATAGATTGTTAACATTATTAATTTCAAGATGGTTCCCGAAGTAAATATAAACTCGTATTGTAGATACTAGAACAGTATTATGAATTATAGATCTTTATTGTTACCTTACATTGAAGTTACATCATACAGATATTAAATTAACAAGAGACAAGTACATCCAATACGTATAACTCGACAGTTAGTTATATAAGTTGAAATTAAATGTAATGGTAAAAAAAGGATCAACATTGTTGTATTCTAGAGATTCAAAGATTCAGATTAAATAGCGCACGAAAAAATCTTTTAATTTCATTCTGCCAGGTTCAATTTCTTCATTACGCAGGCAACAAGATCTATTCTTCAGCTATATCACAAACCTCACACGTTCAATGTATACACAACTACATTTCTCCGAGCATCTGAATGATTAACGTAGTATTATCCTCCAATAAAAGAGTTTGCTCTTCGCTGCTCTCAATTCAACTCGCGCGCTTCCTCTACGAGAGCTCTAGACGACGAGTGACGACGAGTAAGTAACAGCAAGGAGGAAGGTCATCAGGGTGTGAGTTTCTGGCGTGGGTTACTCACCTTGGTTGCCGGTTTGTCCTTTCATCCGCTGCATACCGTTGCATGAAAAAACATACAAAATTTAGAGAAGTGCCAACCCTCGGCAGCGTAACGGTAGCAGGGGGGAGGCAACGAGGAAGGGAGGTATGTGTAAGTTGTCCTGCCGCGATAGAGCGGCAACGGCAACAGCAACGGTGCGACACGGCACGGCACGGCACAGCACAGCGCGGCTGAGCGCGGCGCGGTACGGCACAGCGCGCGGTGCGGCGCGGCGCGGCGCGTATCGCGTCAACAC